TTCTTCTGAATAGTACTACATGTTTTCGTTCTACAGCGTATGAAGTTTGTTGTGTGCTACTTGTTGTTTAGATGCTTGCTGATTGTTATTGCTTAGTTATCATTATTATTTGTCGTCGTAGTCGTAGTCGTAGTGGTAGTAGTAACAGTAGTAGTAGTAGTAGTAGTAGTAGTAGTAGTAGTAGTAGTAGTAGTAGTTGTTGTAGTAGTAGTAGTAGTAGTAGTGGTCGTAGTAGTAGTAGTAGTAGTAGTAGTAGTAGTAGTAGTAGTAGTAGTGGTCGTAGTAGTAGTAGTAGTAGTAGTAGTAGTAGTAGTAGTAGTAGTAGTAGTAGTAGTAGTAGTAGTAGTATCAGTAGTAGTAGCAGTAGTAGTAGTAGTGGTAGTAGTCGTAGTCGTATTCGTATTCGTAGTAGTAGTACTACGAGTACAATCACTATTGGTAGTTTGATTGTTCTTTTTAGTCTTGACCGTGCTAATCTTTCATCTCTAATTATTTTTCTTCTCGTTCGATCGGACGGGCGCAGCGGCTCATGCAGAGATCGCGGAGGAGGCGGAGGAATATGGGGAAGGGGCAGGAGGAGGACGGGGGAGGAGGAAGTGGCGGTGGAGCAGGACGAGGAGGAAGAGGAGGAGTTGGAAGAGGAGGAGCGCAGCGCCTCAGGAAAGGTCTCCCGCCGCGAACGCGGGCGCGCGACGGATTACCCCCTTGCGCCGCCTATTCACGGCACGGTGCCGTGAGATCAGGAGGCAATGTAGACGGAGAGCAGCTGGAAGAAGTCGCCCTCAAGGCCGTGGGCGCAGGCCAACTTGCCGCCGACGAAGATGGCGTCGCTGCCGAAGAAGACGCCGTGCCAACAGTCGAACACGGTGCGGCAGCGAATCACGACATGGTCGGTCATCGCGCCGCGTGGCTGCAAGAGGGGCCACCCTGGGGGAGCGGCGCTGCTAGGGTACGTCGGGCACGAGGCGCCAGGCCCCTTTCGACGCGCGTGATCGCATCAAGCTGGTTGCGGCGCGTGGATTCGTTGGGCGAGAGCCCGTCGCACCTCAGGCCAAGCTTCCGCACAGTGCGGACATTGCCCGCAGCGCAGTGGGATCCGCAGCGCTTGCAACGGTAAGCGCTGTTGCCCCGGAAAACGTCGTGCCCGAGCGCGGCGAAGGCGTCCGCGGCCTCTTCGGCCAGGGCAGGTGGCAACAAGGCTGCGGGGGTCGAGGGCTGCGAGCTACCTCCGAGCGCCAAGGCTGCGCCCTGGGCCATGCCAGCCCTCTGGTCGCCGCAGAGAGCCAAGCCCTCGCCGAAGGCGCGGATGTACTCGGCGCTGAGAGCACTGGCAACATGCGAAGGGCGACGAGAACGACGAGAGCCATTCTGCAGCGACTCGAGAGAGGAGCCCGTCGTGGCCGTGACTCCGCATTGGGTGCATCGGCGCCGCCCGGGGCTGGCGGCATAAGCAAGGACGTGGTCCGCACTGCGTGCCACCACAATGGGCCTGGCCTGCTCGCAAGGTGGCCTGGGGACCTCCACATCGCATCCACATTGTTCGCGAACCACCGCCCGCAGTGCCGCCCACGAAATAAACTGCAAGACCTTGCGGTGCCGTCTCGTCGCAGCTGTTACTGCCTCGGCTGCCGACCCAGCCAGCGCGGTTGAGGCCGCACCACAGCGCGGGAAATAGTCTGCCCAGCCGTTGCCTAGCCAGTCACGCAGCCCCCGCGGCTCTGTGCCCACAAGTTCCTCCAAGGACCTGTGCGCTGGCGTCAGGGCCCCGCAGAGTGCGCTTGCGGCTGGCCACGAAGATGCCCCGCCACGCTCTAGCATGCTTGGCGCGACCCTGCTCGAGCTCGGGGCGCCAACGCTCTCCTTCCTGGGCGAGCGCCAGCAGGTCAGTGAAGAAGCACTGGTGGTCAGGGAAAGCGTCGAGCCCCTCCCTGATCGCGTACCTCTCGGCACGGCCGACAGACTGCACCAAGTACGGAAGGGGCCCAAACCGCGCCCTGACTGGGAGCCAGGAGTAAGGATCAAGCTGCACAACTGCTTGTCCACACCTCCGCACCTCGGGAACACCTGTGTCGTGACCAGACCCGTCGGTGTAAGACACGGGGCCCCAAACGCCATGGGCGTCGCCCCAAAGGCAGACCTCATGCCTCCGCGTACTTGCGTGTGGCAGAAGGGCAGGAGGCTCGGGTATGCCAAACACGAGGTAGGACTGCTCGAAGTTCGGCGTGCCTGATCCAAGACCCGCTTCGATAAGTTGGTCGCGCACCTCAGCCAGCATTTGGGGGAGGTGGAAGATACCGCGGCCATTCGGCGTTGGTGTCGCGGTCTCGGGCCCGCCATGCCCGCATGGTGCATCAGGCACCAAGGCTGAAGCCGCCGCCGCAGGGGACAACGGGTCACTCTGTTCCGAAATTTCTGTTTTTGTGGCCGCCCCCTGGCTGGGAGCGTCGGCGGCGGGCCCGGCGGCGCCCTGGGCGGCGTCGGCGCCCCCCTCGGCGGCCCTGGCGGGGCCTGGGCGACCTCGCTTTGCCTCCGGGGCTGCCCCGGGAGGCTCCGAGAACCTTCGTGAAAAGCCAATCGTTTCGCGCGCGAAGCGTTTGGCATTTCACTCCAGTTTTTGCAAGTCCGCGCTGCGCGCCTGGCAGCTTCGGCGGGGGGGCTGGACTCGGCCCCGGTGGCGCTCTGGGCGGCCCTGGAAGAGCTCTTGGCGGCCGTGGGGGCTGCACCGGGGGGAAGCCGCGGGGCGGGGCCAGGGTCCGCGGGGGCAGCCCCAGCGGTTTGTCCCTGCTCATCGCGCTTGGCCTCGGCCCGGGCCGATTGCGGCGGGTTGCTGCCATTGCCACCGTCCGCTGCCTCGGGCTCGGTCTCGGGCTGTTCCGAAGCAGCCGGTGGCGCACAGAGGATACTCTGCGCGTCCAGCCGCGCCTTCTCCCTGATGGCCGTGGTACCCATCAAGCGGCACAAATATCGACCTCTTCATCAACCCCTTGCCCATTGCGTGGGAAGAGGTCATCCTCGGCCTCCATGGTGCTGGGCTGCTGGGCGCAGGAGTGGGACGGCAGGGTCGGATCGGCCCGACATTCGAGGTGGTCGTAACCCTGCTGGCGTAGGTCGCCGAAACCACGCGTGGTCTGCGCTCGTCGCAGGCCTTGGACATGGTCCGTTGGTTCCTGTTCCATGGGTCGTAATTCCCCTGCGGGGGGGTCAGCAGCTCGGGGCACTCCAAGAAGACATGGCCCCAGCATTCATCGGGCGCAAGCGGAGGAGAAGGAGGAGGAGGAGGAGGAGGAGGAGGAGGACAATGGCGGGGGGAGGGATTGGGTGCAGGAGGAGGCGGAGAAAAGAAGGTGGGAGGAAGGGACGAGGAGAACGGGGAAGGGAGGAAGGGAAGGACGAGAAAGGAGGGGAGGATGAGGGGGAGGAGAAGGAAGGGGGGGGAGGAAGAGGTGGAGGAGGAGGAGGAGGAGGAAGGGGCGGAGGAGGATGAGGGAGACGAGGAGGAGGAGGAGGAGGAGGAGGAGGAGGAGGAGGAAAAGGAGGAGGAAAAGGAGGAGAAGGAGGAGGAGGAGGAGGAGGACGAGCTGCTTCGACGGCCCGCCGAGCCCCGTCCGCACGGCAGCTCGCGCCGTTGTGCCGGCGAGGCGAGGCACGCGCCAGCGCCGGCCAGGCGAGCGAATGACTCCCTGAAGGTCGATGGGGCAACGACAGGGCGGTACTGACAGAGGGGGGGGGAATGCATCGACCTGGACTCGGCGATACATCGCCGATAGATCTGCGATATGCCCCCGACAGTGAATCCGCACCTTGCTGTGCAGGTTGGGGCTATTCGGGCCCTTGTCGGCGATCAATGGGCGATCGGGGGTCGATACATGCCCCCGTCTGCCTATCCCCTCCTATCGTTGCCCCCGAAAGATCCCCAGACCCGGACTCCCTTGCGCTGTGAACAAAAGTCACGTAGGAAGGTTTTCCCAATTTTCGGCCTCTGCTTGGATCGCCGCGGGGGTGTTGCTGAGAGGGAGGCGGATACAAGTGGATGGTGTGGTGGACTTCAATCCGGCTTAACACAGCTTAGAAGTGGGTTGCACGTGCCCTAAGTGGCTTAAGGGCTCACAGATCTGGGCTAAGTGGCGGAGCCCACTTAGCGGAGTTACCTCATCATCCTAAGCCGCATAGCGCACTAGCAAATCACTTGTAAGTCGGGTTAGGCCCGATAAAACTAGACCCCTCCCCTTAGCATCCACCGCGTCGATCCAAGTGGGGGTCCTCGCCAGGCCCCAGGACCGTTCAAACGCGACTCGGGAGGAAAAACTGGTCTTGGGGAGTGGATCGGGGGTCTGGGCTCCGACCATCCCCACTACTGCTAGCTACAGTCAACCCGCATAGTAAGGATGTGCGATTGTCCAAGGTTGCCCTTGCATCCTTCCCATTCAGCCCATCCTTGCCCACTCTCTCTTGCCGCTCCGGGCTCGCAACGTGTTGACATGGCCTTCAAGGCCCTTGCATCCTTCTCGTGCTTAGTGAGCTCCGGAAACCGCAGAGCCGGTCTTTTCACCGTTTCCGATATTGTGTCTTTTGAGCATGCAAACGGCAACAGAAACGGCGACTGGAAACGGCAACAAAACCGGCTCAGGGATTGGAGCGGGAATTGGAACCAGAAAAAGAAGGACGACGGAACCGGCCAGTCAGCGGCGTCGGAACCGGCAGCGAAGCGGCAAGACGCAGAGCGGAACCGGTAAATAACAGAGAACGGCCTTGTCGTTTGCAGGGCCCGCTAAGTTCTCGTGCGTCTTTACAGTGAGCGGCTTGACTAAGGAACACTTACTTTTCAAAAGGGGCTCGGTCGTTCCTTAGATTTTACATGCGTTATTTACAGTTCCTTATGCGTTATTTGTTATTGATCGATCCTTATGCGTTATTCCTTGGGTAAAGAAAGGGGCTTCGTTCCTTATTTATCGTTCCTTAGGTAAGGCCGATGACTGTGTGCCACGAGTTGGGCTGTGGAGGCGCTTCGAGGAGGCGGAGAGGCGGAAGGGCGCCATGTCGGCGGCGCGCAGGCGAGGGCTGCGGCGGGGGGGGGGAGGCCCCCCCGAGAGGGCGCGCCCGACTCTCCTCGCAGGCCCCTCTCGGATCATGAGAGTCACCACCCACCAAACCACCCCAACCCAACCCGAAGGCTCAGATTTACCCTCGATTTCTAGTGGGGGGGGGTCCGGGAACATAGAAAAAACACATATGGAGCCCATACCCCCCCCAACCCGAAATTCGGGTTTTCGGGTTGGGTTGGGGTGGTCTGGTAGGTAGTCAGAGAGAGTCATGGCGGGAGGCTCTCCGCCATGTTTCGAGCAGGGGATCGAGTGCAGAGCTGAGCATGTGCCAGCACTGATCTTCCCGCCGAGCACGCGAGGAGCGCGTGGACCGTCGGGGCATTCCAGGTACTGCGTCGAAGATTCGGCGGGGAACTCAAGTTTGGGTCAAATCGTTTCTGTAGTCGATCCCCTGGCGAATGTTCGGCCTCCAGGGGCCTTCCTTGCATCGCCTGGGGGGGTGTCAGGACCAGCGCTCGGTTGAAGGGTGGGTTCGAGTCGAATCGGGATCGGCTCGCAGCGCCGAAGGCGCGGTGCACCGTGGCACCGGGCGGCCTCCGACCAGTCTCAGGGAGGCACTTGCTGTGTGGCTCTCGACCTGCAGGCCATCTAACGAGGGAGTCTGCAATCAATCGCTGCTGCCAAGAGGCCTGCGTAGCTTCTGGCTTGAGCGATGGACTGTACTCTTGTGTCAGAGGTGCGAACGTGCATGGTGCGGAAAGCTACGCACACCAAGGAATTGGAATCCGCTCTCAACTTGCCATTGTGCCGCTGACACCAGAGAGCAGGCTCTGGTATTCTTGCTCAATATTCAATATCTGTACAGTTGCCGTAGGCGGGGAGTGTTAGAAGGATAGTGGGTTGCAAGTGGATGTTCAGGTGGGTTCTATCTGGCCCAAGCTAGCTCATAAGTGGGTTGCCTGGAGTTGAGTGGCTGAAGGGTGTACAGATCAGGGCTAAGTTGGCGGATCCCATTTGACAGAGTTATCGAATCACTCCTCAGTCACCTATGGCTCGCAACCCTCTTATAAGCGTACTTAGGCCAGACATCACCCCATCCATTTCTAAACTCCATATCTTCTCAGCAACCATATCGGCGTTCCAAGTACGGGCTTCGGGACCGTCAAACGACGACTCAGGATGAGACACCAGTCCAGAAGAAGAGATCCAGACCTGTGGGGGGTCGACGTCATGAACGAATCGTGGCATCAGGGGTCTGGGCTCTGAGGAGGAGACGATACCGCTGCCGCTGCTCGTCCTGGAGAGGCCCCGTCGCCGACTGAGAGGTGCCGTACGAAGGTTGTGTGTGGGGCATTGGTTGTCATTTCCGCGGTTTGGCGCCTCACGTTTCGCTTCGGATGCAACTCTTGAGAGGTCAAATTCTGATTTTGCCCTGGTCCGAAATCTGGCCCGCTGAATCCGGCCTGAGCCCGCTTCATCCGAGGCCCGCTCCTGCGTCACAGCTCCCACATGGGGTTTATAATCCTCCTTGATTTAATCTTTCCGACGGAAGCCTTCCAGCAGTTGCTTCCTAATTTCGCGGCATCGGGTCTCAGGGTCACTCCATGCCAGGGGAGGAGGAGGAGGAGGAGGAGGAGGAGGAGGAGGAGGAGGAGGAGGAGGATGAGGAGGAGGAGGAGTGGGGAGGAGGAGGCGGAGGAGGAGGGAGGGGCTCCGTCCGCGCTTCAGATGCCGCCCCCCGGGTGGCCCGGGGCCCTCCGGCCGTCGCCGTCGGCCGCCGCCTCTCGGGGCGAGCGTGGGGCCGATCGCGGGATCGCCTTTGGGATCGCGGGGCAAGCTCGGAGGCACGGTGGGTCCACGGGACAGTGTCGCGATGCCGCCAGTGCGGGCAGTCGTTATAGCCACATCCAGTGCGTCTTGGAGTCTTGGGCTCTCTTCCCCAGAAAATCCGTAGACGCTCTGGATATGGATAAAAAGTCTGGCTCCAGGAGGCTTGATTTTATCCGCATCCAGTGCGCCTCGGCGTTGCGGCACCTCTTCCTGAAAAGTCCAGGACGCTCTGGATATGGATATTAGTATTGCCCGCAGCCAGGCCGCTCGATGTTCGAGGGTGTGCAGGTTTGCCCGGTGATCCGCGGAGCCTCGAAGTGCGCCTCGTTTAATCCCCCATGGGTGGGCCGAGGATTTGCCTCGGTGCTCCTCCTCCTCGTCTCCTCTCCTTCGGTTACGGCTCCGCGGCGCCCGCTTAGCCCACTTCTGAGAAGCCCCCATGCTTCGGTGGCAAGTCATGGGAGCCTGACGTAGCCTGTTAACTCCGTCTTCAGCGTCGACCAGCGTCGATTAGTGCCTGGGAGTCGATGAGATAGCGTTGATTCAGCGTCGATTAGCGTCGATGTAGCTCCGATGTAGCGTCGATCAGCGTCGACTGGCCTCGATCAGCGTCGTTTCGCAAGGGCCGCCAAGATGGTATGGGAGGCTCCCATGAGTTGCCACCGAGCCTTCTGAGGAGCCCCACGCCCTCCTCAGAGTCGGGCCGGGCAGGTTGCGGGGGGCTCGAACAACTTCTAAACATCTCAGAGAAATTATTTTTTTTGGCCTCCTGAGGCCCTCCCGGGGGCCCTCTCCAGTGCCTCTGGAGCCGTCTCGAGACTCTCTTGGGCCGTCCGGAGGCCAGCTGAAACTCTCTTAAGGGGCCGTCGTGGGCCCCTCTGGAGCCGTCTTGGGGGCCCTCCTGGGCCGTCTTGGGGCCCTCTGGCAGGTTCACCCGAACAAATACGAAGACATAGGCCATGGGAGCCGCCTGGGATCGGGGGTGGACAGAACCCCCAACAGTGAAACGTCGATTAGTGAATTGTCCGTTTTCGGTTCTCGAGAGGGCGCCGTGGCCGTTATTTCCCAGGCTTGCGCCCGCCAGGTTTGGGCCTCGGGTCGTTTTCACTGAACCACGTTTTACTAAAGGGGGGTCTGTCCATCCCCGATGGGAGCCGCTTCGCTCGAAACAAAACGAGGGAGCCGGGCCATTGGATCCTCACTCGTGCCTCGCTCGTTCCGTTCTCCGGGGTGCGCTGATGACCACGCCGTGTGGTGAGCGAGTGGGGATTCGGGGTGGCGGCACGGTTTTGGGGCGCGGGGCGTTCTCCGATGGCTCGAGGAAGAATCCAGCGCCCCTTAATCATGCGCGAATTTCTTGGATCCGCGCTGGGGCCCCCCTGGCGGTCGCCTCTGGCACGCTCCGCGCGACAGGGAGGGGGGTCCAGAGAAGGTCCAAGAAGTCCGCGCGGAGCGCCACAAGTTTTATGGTCGTGGCGTTTTGTTGTTTCTCTGCTAATGACGTCTTGGGCTACTGTGGCCCCCAGTGTGCTTGAACTGTGTGGTGACGGACTGCGCCGTGAGGTCTCTTGGGGTTCCGAAGTCGCTGCGCGGTCTGCGATTTCCAAGATATAATGGCCACCTCCACTGCTGGGGGGGCGCCCCGCCGATTTTGTCCGCACGCTGGGTTCCCGGGTTCCCCGTTCCGGGTTCCTGGGTTCCCGGGTTCTTGGCCGATCTTCTTATCGATGGGTCTCACCATCGATCTCATTACCAGTTTCTCGATCGATCTCACCATCGATCTCGCAATCGATCTCACTATCAATCTCACAAGCGATCTCACTAGAGATCGCATGAGCGATCTCGCGATCGATCTCACTATCGAGCTCGTTGAATCGATTTCACTCTCGGTCTCACGATCGACCTTACAATCTTCCTCACTGCTTGGGGGCCTCTCGGGAGCCTCGTGGGAGGTTCTCGAGAGGAGCCCTCGTGGAAACATACGGAAAAACACACAAGCAACAAACAACAGAGCGACACAAAAATCGTGGGAGGCTCTCGGCGGGGGCCTCCTGGGGGCCTCCTGGGGGCCTCCCGAGAGCTTCTCGGGGCCGCAGGCTCCTTCTCGGGGCCGCCTGGGGGCCTGGGGGCCTCCCGGAGGAGGAGGGAGGAGGAGGAGGAGGAGGAGGAGGAGGGAGGAGGAGGAGGAGGAGGAGGAGGAGGGAGGAGGAGGAGGTCGGGGCCTCCTGAGAGCTTCTCGGGGCCGCAGGCCTCCTGAGAGCTCTCGGTGGGGCCTCCCGGGGGCCTCCCGCGGGAGCGCCTCCCGGGGGCCTCCCGAGAGCTCCTCGGGGCCGCAGGCTCCTCCATTTTTTTTTTCCTTCCCGCGACGCCGGGCGGCCTGGGCGCTCCGTGCGCCCCTGCAGAGAGAGAGGTCGCGCTCCTGCCCCCCGCCCCTCGTCGTGAGTCGGGCCCCGTCCCTCCTCGGGAGGAGTATTCGAGAGTAGCCAAACAAAGTAGTCTGGGCACGAATGTTGGGCAATTGCTGATTTTTCCCAACCATCCTGTGGTGTTGGGTCCTCGTTTTGAAGAGACGGTGCCCCGCGTTCCTCTCCTCTCCTCTCCTCTCCTCTCCTCTCCTCTCCTCTCCTCTCCTCTCCTCTCCTCTCCTCTCCTCTCCTCTCCTCTCCTCTCCTCTCCTCTCTCTCCTCCCCTCCTCTCCTCCTCTCCTCTTCACCCACCCAGTACACCGTTTCGTGGCTCCATAGGGAGCTCCACCGAAGGCCCCAGTGCCCGCGCCCGCATGCGTCACCCACACCCATTTCGGCACACCCCTCACACGTTTCGTGGCTCCATAGGGAGCTCCACCGAAGGCCCCAGTGCCCGCGCCCGCATGCGTCACCCACACCCATTTCGGCACACCCCTCACACGTTTCGTGGCTCCATAGGGAGCTCCACCGAAGGCCCCAGTGCCCGCGCCCGCATGCGTCACCCACACCCATTTCGGCACACCCCTCACACGTTTCGTGGCTCCATAGGGAGCTCCACCGAAGGCCCCAGTGCCCGCGCCCGCATGCGTCACCCACACCCATTTCGGCACACCCCTCACACGTTTCGTGGCTCCATAGGGAGCTCCACCGAAGGCCCCAGTGCCCGCGCCCGCATGCGTCACCCACACCCATTTCGGCACAC